CCCCCCCCCATTTTTTGGGGTGGAGTTCCCCCTTAAAATTCCTACCATACCTAAAGGGGCTGGTATGACTTTTGGGGGAACCCTACACACTTTTTGTTTTTCTAACTTGGGGGGTCTCTTAACTTTCCTACCAGACCTAAAGGGTCTGGTATGGATCTGGAGGGGGACCGCACACCATTTTTTTTTATTTGTTTATATTTTTTGGGGAGAACGGTCTGCTTCGGTAGACCGTTCTCCCCACTTCGACTTCGAGCCGAAGCATATGCGTTCTGCTTGGCTGAGCTGTTCGGCTGCTGCACAGGCTATTGTGAATAGCTGAATTAAAGGGCTCCGACGGCCGAAGTGAAATCCGTTCAATTGGTGGCCCTGTCAGCTCCCATACCTCCAGCATCCTTGGATCAGAAAATCGAAGGAGCTGGATGAAACATTTTGGGGCGAACAATGGCAGCAGCCAACAGTGATGATAGTGACAATTGCCAAGCAAGAGATGAATCTATCCATGGAGGGAGGAATCTATTATAATTTTTCATTCAGCCGGCAGGTTGAACGAAAAAATATAACAGTGTATGGCCATCTTAAGATAATTAAGAGATAAGATGAAGGTTTTAGTATAGAATAACACTTTTGGTACTCAAATAGAATCTTTCCAAAGATATCTGTACTTCAGACAAGGGACAACAGTGGAGGAGGGAAGGAAGAGGGATTTGGTTCCAAATGAGGGACCGTTGAGAAGTATGAAAGTGACCTGTTTGCAGTTCACATAACAGATCTGGGGAAGGCAATTTTTAATAAAAGCCAGCAGACCGCAAATCTGACCATGTGAAAAAGACTATAGAATGAAACTTAGTGGATTGCCAGTGGAACAGAAAACTCACTCATCTCTCCCGATCAATCTAAGTAGCAGACAAAATCGTCATTTGCATAATAACTAAAGACGAGGAAGTAAAACTCTTAATTCAGCTTAACACAATAATGTGCTTGTCAAATAATGTCATGCAAACGAGTTCCATGAGGAAAAGCCCTGATGAGTAAGAGTACAGTAACCACAACTTCAGATCACTATACATGTAGTCTTTTGTCCGCGACCACGTCATGCAGCCAGGGCTCAGCACGGCACTGAGAAGTAGGGCGGCAACAGCCTGCAGCTTCTCCTCTGGATTGCCACTGCTCTCCCCCATCTGTATGGGCAGAGGCAGCGGGGATCCGAGGAGAAGTGAAGAACTGCACCCAGTGGGGAGGGAGGGGGGCAGAGGAGAGAGAGAGCCGCTTGGCCAGGATCTGGCAGCCGGCGGCTCTCTCTCCTCACCGCTCGGCCATGCTGCTGTGACAGTGGTTCCCTCCTCCCGCCGGCTGCAGTGCTTCACTTCACCTCAGATCCCCCCTGCTTCTGCCCATACAGATGGGGGAGAGCAGTGGGTATCCAGAGGAGAAGCTGCAGGCTGTGCCTCTTTGCATGGCTGAGCGGTGGGGAATCGGTACATATCAGTGATATGTACCGATCCTCTGTGTGCAGAGCAAACACTGGAGAGGTCAACTGATCATTTCAGTGTTTGTAAATAACTGGGGACACAGAGTACTCTGTGTCCCCAGTTATAAATGAACAGGTGATTTACATCACTTCCTGTTCATTCATGAGTTTCTGAATGGTTAGTATCACCCAGTACAGAGGCTTCTCCCCATTCAGAAACTGCTTGATAGAAATATTTTCTGAATGAATGGGAAGCCTCTGTACTTCTGCAGAAAAATAGATTGAGGACCCTTTGTCCCCGAAACCCCCCAACAGTAAAAAAAAAATTACAATTAAAAAATAATAAAAATAATGCGGAGGGGGGCCCAGGCCTAAAGCTGTGTAAGGGGCCCCAACATTTCTGAAGGCTGCCCTGGGCAAGAGTATTCTTACTTGAATCTTGGTGTGCTTTCTTGTGCATTTGTAGCGTTAAATGTTGTCTTCGGAACTTCCTGTATTAAAGACCAGTCAGGGCTGCTCTCTTCTTGTGCAGGGTGACCGGTCTTTTATTCAACCCCTCCTGTAGTTTTCTGCAGGTGGGCCTACTGAGTCCTTCTCACTGCTCTCTGCACAAGCTATGTACAGCACAGTGGTGTTGTCAAGGCAACTTTTACAAGATATAATCTAGGCTTTCAAAGGCATTTGGTGCAAACAAAGTGGATTGTGGCTATGATATATTTTATATATACTGTATGTAAATTAAAGTTTAAATATTATATACGTAAATGAAAGTTTTTGTGCCTGGAGGTCAGTTTTCAATAGATTACATCTTTCTTTGGTGTGTGAAAGATGTGGCTTTGGTAGAACCTAACTGTTATGTACAGTGGGGGGAATTTATCAAGACTGGAGCAGACACAATCTGGAGCAGTTGCCAATGGCAACCAATCAGCATCTCTCTTCAGTTTGCTCAGGTAAGATTTTAAAATGAGACAGAGAAGCTGATTGGTTGCCATGCACAGCCGCTCCACATTTTGTCTGCTCCAGTTTTGATAAATTCCCCCCAATGTCTTATAGGCCACCTCCACCTAAAATGTCAGTTATTCATGGATACTTCAAAGTTTCATTATATTTTGTCTTCCAAATTCTCTTAGAGAGTCTCCCCAGAATCCCCATTTGTTTTCTATTAGTTGATGATCAAAATGGTCCAAAATGGTCAAGTAGTTGGGAAATCCAGCTTGAAGAGAGTGACACCTCAGTGAGAGAGGGCATAGATACAGACCACTACAGGACCGTTCTGCCACTGTGGTGTCCCAAAAAAATCATGACCAACCACTATTGCCCTTACAGAACTAATAGTTTAACTCTAATGACATAGATATCGCTTTGTTACACATATACTGATGGATTTAAGGAATGACTTTGGTTTCTTCTTCACAGGTTCCAGCATGGATACAACCAACATAATGAAACAGAGCACAAACCGATCTAAAGCACTCTGCCTGTGTTTGCTTCTGACATTCCTGTTTCTGCCCAGCAACTTTGGTAACATCTGCACTGGATCTCAACCACATACCAATCCGTCTTTGGTCACGCAGCTGGATTTAAGTCAGTGCAACATTAGCAGCCTTCAAGAAAGTGATTTCAAATTACACCCCAATTTACAGACGTTGGACCTCTCTCATAACCTTCTAAAGCAGTTAGACTTTTCAGTGTTCCGGTTTAATACCTTCCTAAAGCATTTAGACATCTCATACAACAACCTCCGCAATATAAACTGTAGCTCGCTACAATTTATTAAAGACATCAAACATCTGATTATGGCTTACAATAACTTTGATGCAAGCTATCTCTGCCAAGAATTTGGCTACTTGACAAAGTTAGAACATCTTGGATTGAGCAGCAAAAGGATTCAGAAAAATGATTTTGAAAACATTGCACTCCAAGAGTTTAAGAGCATATTTCTAGCACTTGAAGAACTGCAAGGATATTATCCTGGTAGTCTGAGGCTACTGAAAATGGAGAAGTTACATGTCATATTACCCCAACGTGTCTTCTTTTTAATTGAATACTTTTTGCTTGATGTCTTTACCTCAACAACAACTCTGGAAATCTCTCAGTTTATATGTAAAGATTGCTCTTTGGAGGTGATGTCTTTGATTGCCAAACAGGCAAATGTATCAACTCTAATTCTTAGCAATATTATAATGCCATGGCGTTACCTGAACATACTTCTAGAAGGTTTGTGGAAGTCCTCAGTTAAACATCTCTTCATCAATGGTATCACAATCATAGAAGATTTTGATTATATATCCATTGATGTCTCTGAAGGTTCAATAGAATCTTTATACATTGAAAACGTTATGGCCCTGGTGTTTGAATTTTATAAACACCCCTTGCTGATTTTTTCAGAAATGATTGTCCACAATTTGACTCTATCGAATGCAGAACTTACATTCTTCTTTTGTCCTCAATTTCCGAGCATTTTCCAGTCTCTAAACTTTGCAAATAATGGTCTTACCGATGGCGTTTTTCAACAATGTAGATCCCTTCCAGTCCTGCGGTATCTTAACTTACACAATAACAGACTAGAGAAGCTTCTGAGCTTAAGCTCAATGACTTCAACTATGAATTCTCTGCAACATCTAGATGTGAGCTTTAATACCTTGTACTATGACCGGACTGTACAATGTGAATGGTCAGAAAGTCTGGTCTTCTTAAATTTGTCCAGAAACAAGCTAACAGAGTCAGTTTTTGAATGTCTACCGAATAGTGTTGAAATACTGGATCTTTCCCGGAACCAGATAAAAAGTATTTCTAAAGAAATTAAACTGTTAGCGGCATTAAAAGAAATAAATCTGGCATTAAACCAGCTTAGTAATATACCAGATTGCAGGCACATGAGTAAGACTTTAAGGGTCCTAAATATAGATAATAATGGTATATTCTCTCCATCGGGAGAGCTTTTTCAGAGCTGCCGTAATGTAAAGAGCATAAGTGCTCTAAACAATAATTTTGTTTGCAATTGTGAAATGCGGTCATTTGTTAGCTCCATGCAGGCATTTAAAGGAGAAATAGTAGGGTGGCCAACATCCTATAATTGCGAACTTCCTGAAGAATTTAATGGAATCATTCTTAAGGACTTCCATCTTTCTGAAGTATCGTGTAATTTATACCTTTTAATTGCCGTTGTTGTAGGTTCAGTATTGGTTGTGGTATTGCTCCTAGTTTTTACATGTAAATATTTTGATTTACCTTGGTATTTGAGAATGATTTTCCAGTGGCTTAGAAGTAAATATAGGGTAAAGCAGGTTAATGTAACAGAGATCCAGAACAGCAAACTTTTTCATGGCTTCATCTCATATAGCCAAAAAGATGGTGACTGGGTAAGAAACATTTTGAGACCAAACCTTGAGAAAGATGATGGGTCAGTAAGAATCTGTCTCCACGAAAGAGACTTTATTCCAGGCCAAACAATAGTTGAAAACATCATCTGCTGCATAGAGAAAAGTTTTAAGTCTATATTTGTCCTTTCCCCCAATTTCCTTCAGAGTGAATGGTGTCATTATGAACTATTTTTTGCACAGCATTCTTTATTTGGCAAGAATTCTGACAACCTGATACTCATTTTATTGGAACCTATACCCCAATATCTTATTCCCAACAAATACAGCAAATTAAAAGCACTAATGAAGCAAAGAACTTACATGGAGTGGCCAAAGGAGAAAGCCAAACAAGGCCTTTTTTGGGCTAACCTCAGAGGAGCAATGGAAATAGACCTTCCTGTTCAGGAAGGGAAGTCATTATAGGAGACTGAACATAACAACCACAGAATGCCTGGTGAACATAACCTATAAAAGAGCCTACATAAAGGGCAACTGTAAAATACTTTTTGGCCATAGACTTGCCTATGTTTCAGCCTGTATGTAAAATATTAAACTATCTTTTGTAAAGATACTGAAGAAGTATATATATAATACTGGCCACTCCCTTTTAGATTGTAAGCCGTCATGGGCAGGACCCTCCTTCCCATCTTGTCTTGAATTGTATTGTGATTGTAATGTCTTCCTGATATTGTAAAGCGCTGCACAAACTGTTGGTGCTATATAAATACTATGTAATAATAATAATCTCTGCACTTTACCAGCATGCTTAACCTCCCTGGCGGTTTTCCCGAGTCTGGCTCGGGGTTAATTTTCAATACTAGGAGCGGTAACCCCGAACCAGACTCGGGACTGCAGAGAAAAGTGACACTTACCTTGTCCCTGCGAGCCTGCGGCGTCCTCTGCTGTACGCGGCCCGAAAACGAAACTAAAAGTCAGTTATATTATCATTTTTTATAATTATTTATTATATTATAATTTCTTATAATTATTTATAATTTATTATATTATAATTTTTTAATTTTGTGTTTCAAACTTTATCATACCCGGGATGTCTACTGGACTCTTGTTTGGATAGATTTAGGTGAGTTATTCCTAAGATTTACTAAGAATTACAGGCCTATAATATAAAACAAAAAATTTCCATGAAAAACAATGTACCGCTTTTGGATGCTAAAATCCCGAATAATCAGACCGCCAGGGAGGTTAATAACTGCTGTTCAGAAGTCTCAGGCCACCTAAAGAGTAATGGCGCTAAATGGTGATAAAGTCATTTCTCAGGGCTAAATGTATAAAACCATGGGGTAAACATAAAAATAGAAGAAAAAAAAATTCTGAAGCAGTGTTAATTTTGACAGCAAATTTCAATTTAGTTTTAGTCAGTTTAGTTTTAGTCTTTTGACTAAAATGCCATTTAGTTTTAGTCATATTTTAGTCATCTAAATTGTTTTTGTTTTAGTCGACTAAATATCATAAGATTGTAGTTGACTACATCTACTGTAGATTTAGTCTACTAAAATCTAGTGGGTTTAGTTAAAGGGTAATTGAAGAATATCTCTAGAATTCCCAATCTCATTATATACTCCTGGAGTAAACATCTGTTAACCTGTTATTACTGTTGGTATTAGGGTTTGAACATGCAATAAAGACACAGATTTAACTGTTGTAATATATAACATGTCTTTATTTATCTTAAAAATAGATTAAACCAAGTCTTATAAATAAACAATAATATTGAGTATTTTCAGCAAAGGACCAGTAATTAGATATGTGTTAATTATAAAAACTTGCATATGACATTCTTCAATCTTTCAAGCAGAAGTGCATTTCTAAAATATTAAAATGAAAAACTATATTGGCTGTAAAGTCATTGCACATATTACCTATTAGCCGTCCATTCAGGATGGAACCGGAGCTGGAAGTCCAAAGAGGTTAGTACTGATTGGACCTCTTCCCAAATCATCTCTCCCTAACATTTTAGTCTAGTTTTAGTTAGTCGACTAAAATGTCAATATATTTTCCTAAATAGTTTTAGTCATCATAACTTTTATTTAGTTTTAGTCACTGAAAAAGTGTTGTTGACTAAAACTATGATGAAAATTATTAGTCGACGAAATTAACATTGTTCTGAAGAGCACTATCTAGATAACTGCCACATTTAAGATTTCTCTGGAGAAAAGATACAGTAGCTCAACCTAAAAAATTGACTCCTACACATGCACCATACAAAGAATTGTTTGGCCTTTGGAATAATGGCCAGTCTTTATGTACAAATGGACCTGCGCTATGGTGATAGTGATACACCCAGCTGCTGTGTTCAATTTGTATGGAATACACACAAATTAGCTCAATGAAATCCAAATGAATAATGGCCAGTCTGCTCAGTCCCTTATCTTTAGCTCAATGCATTGCATTTTCTCAAGAGTTTAAAGTGATTCTAAACTCGGGAGTTAAACTTTTAAAATGCATTCAAGTACCTTAACTATTAACAAAAATGCATCTTATCTGTGTGCTGTAGATGCTCAAATTATCTCTGAATTGGTGTGAACACTGTTCCTTCCTTCTGGAGGATGGTTTGTTTTTTTTCCCCATGGTCGCTGTGTGTGTTGTAAAGTAGGCACCGCTCCAAGATCACAACTATGGTGGACTAAAATCTCAATACAAATTAGTAAACTAAACGTGACAGTGACATTGTAGTCCATCACGGGAGCGAGCTTGGAGCGGTGGCTACTTTACAACACACACAGGGACCATGGGGAAATAAAGTAGCCCCCCTCCAGAAGGAAGGACAGTCTCAATACCAATTCAGAGATGATTTGAGGATCTACAGCCGAGGGATACACAAATAAGATACATTCTGCCACTCACTATACTGCAAGCAATGACTGGACCTAACCATGGTCAAGCTCTGCTGTCTGGCTTAAAAGTTTAGATACTTATTCAACCTTATGTTTATTTAGCCGCATGACACTCACCACACACTATGATCTTCAAAAGTAAATATACTTAAAATTCATATTCAAACAACTTTCCAAAGTTGCCATTGGCGTATCTGAGCGTGTTCCTTTCGGCATTTTGGACCCAGTTATACAGACTGCAGTGATTGTATTTCCTGCCTTTGTGTCACAGTCACAGATTACAGAGATTATAGGCACATTAAACCTGTTGGGGAGCTTTACACTTTTGCCAAAAAGTCTATTGAAAACAAACATTCTTACACATAGAAGCAGCTGCTATTACATCTTATAAATTCCAGAACTATACATATTCACGGGAAGTTTTAATGCAGCCACTTAATGACCCCACGTAATGAATCTATGCCTTTATCTGCAGTGCATTCCCGCAAAAGGCTGTAGGCCTACACCCTGTCCTTACAACAAGGATTGCTTCTCTGGTTTTCACCGTGTGCATGGGAACTGAACTTGATTGTAACATCTTTACTCAAAGGAAAAATATCCAGGCACTAAACAGAGTGGCTTATGGTAAGAGTTTTCTCTGATTGTACAGAGAGATTGTCTACTTTGTCTGCTCCTATCTACTTTCTTTAATGGTGGTCACACACATATCAAAATGATCATACAATCATTCAACACAACTAAACTGAACAAACTGAATAAAAATTGCAAAGCAAAGAACTTATTGAGTAAGAAAGTACAGTATGTATTTTCTATGCTTCTCAGTGCCATCTAGCGGCCATAATGCAATATTACATGGGAAAAAATATTTGAAGATACATTGTCTTGTCAAAAAATAAATAAAAACAACATTTATTTTGCCACATATCTGCACAGATCAAATGTTCATAGACATTTGCAGGGCGAATAGCTTTGCACATTGTTTATAAATAGATTCCTTTGTGTTGCCAAGTGAGAATGTGTATGCAGATAAGGACTTGTGTCTTTACTGATATGTATACTGGATCTGGGTCAATGACACCGTGTATTAAAGCTAGAACAGCCTTTTTCAACCCTTTAACCCGGAAGAACACTTTAAATAATTTCAAGGACCCATGGAACCGCTGTTATTACGTTAAAATTCTTATCTACAATAATAATAAATTAAACAAAAATGGTGTAACCGTTGTATTTGACAGTCAGTGGATAATTTTTAACAATCCCGGCTCTATATAATAATAATACATTTAAACAAATAATAATGATAATTCTTAGAAAAGAAAAGCAGACAGTATAAAATGTAGTTTCACTTTAAAATGTGTGGTCCGTGGAGAAATGCCGCCTAACATTGGTGAACAGTGGAGAAATGCCTCCTTACACTGGTGGTAAGTAGAAACATGTCCCCTGACATTAGTAATTCATTGTAGTTATCTCTTACATTGGTGGTCAGGGAGAGAGGTGTCCACTTACATTGGTAGTCAGGGGGAGAGGGACCCCTTTACATAAGCGGTTGGTGTAGTGCTCACTTACATTGGTGGTCAGGAGGAGAGGTGCCCCCTTACATTGGTAAACAAGCGAAACAGACAGCCTAAAAGCCCATTGGTACCGGAGGTTACATACTTGAGAGGTGAGAGGAAAAGTTCCCACTTGTGCCCTGCCACTGTCTCTGCCAAATGCCATCAGTGCTGGAGCTATGCAGACATGTCAGGGGAAGATTAGTCTGCTACTGTTCCCTGCTCAAGAAACCCCTAGCAACCTCTGGAGGAACCCCAGGGTTCCACAGAACCCTGTTTGAGAAAGGGTGAGCTAGAGGGTCAGCATAATATCCAGGCAACTAGCATTTCAAAGGCCAAGGCAATGTATACTGGCTTTGCTTGCTTTTCTTTATTATGGTCTGGACTTAAAAGCAGGTAAAGCCATGGGTCTTTCTAGCGCCAGGCAGATGGGGCACATGCCCACATCTGCTGGTGAGGGCCCTATGTCCCAAAAGCACGACTACCCAGTTTTTTCTCTCAAATTGTGGCTTAGGCAGCTTCTGGCTCATGTCTTTGTCCACTGGCCCGCCTGCTGCACATGTAGCACAGAGCCGAGGGAAGTGTTTTTGAAAACTCCTGCTGGGCTTTATGCTACAGGTCTGACAGGCAGCAGGCAGGATTGTATTGGCTGGAGGGGACATTTTTGCTTGGGAGACACTCTGTGCGTTACTCACTCCTGATCCCATGCACTCTTTTCTTTACTTAGTGCTGACCCCTGCACTCTGTGCTTTACACACTCCTGATCCCTACAATCAGTGTTTGAATACTCTTAAAACCCTGCATTATGTGCATTGTCCGTACTTGACCTCTTCCCTCACTGTTCACTGTGCTTTATGTACTCCTGTCCCCAGTGCCCTGTGTGTTACATACTTCTGACCCCTGCACTTTGTTAATTAAGTGCTGACCCTTTCACTCTGTGTGTTGTGCACTCCTTACCCCTGCAACTTGCATGTTACTTACTTATGGCCCCTTACGTACTCCTGACCCTTGTGCTCTG